ACATTGTTATAGGTATCTGCGTAAAAAGATGGGAGACTGAAACTGCTGAAGACTGTTTATCTGTTGTGCACTTTGATCTTTTATACTTTTGACATTCACAAACATATATATTACACACTGCATTAAAGATTAATTAAAAAAAGTCCCATTATTTGAAAATGTCCAAAGCAAGAGCCATACACAAGTTTCATAAGGAATTGCACGCATACCAAAGCGATCTGGTACTTAATTTTATTTTTAAACAAATTATATTTTAAAAGATCAACATTTTCAGCGTCTTTTTCAGACATAATTTGAAAGACGTTGTTGTATAACGTTTTCAGCAAAGGGGAACACATCTGTTCTTTGCCATGCAATATGAGACCGTTCTACATTACAGCACAGACAGCAACATAAGCAAACTGGCAGTTGTTACAGCAAATGAATTATGACAGTATAACAGTGATTAATCAGGAGAGAATTCTTTTAATGCATGGCTTTACATATTCATCGCATAAATCACCACGAAAAAAAGCCCTGCGCGCATAACGAAGACAACGAATGAGGTGTTTCATGTTTTAATAGAAAGAAATAACAGCTTGTGGTTAACAAAAGCATAAAAGACATGAAAAATTACAGCCTGTTCAGCAGTACACAAGTGGTGATCTCACTTTAACAAAGTGACCAAACGAATGCACATATAGAGGAAGACGTTTGAGCATAGAGGTAGTTTCAAGTCTCAATATGATGGTCTCCATGGGCAACATCAGACAGAAGCGCGTGGGTGAGACAGTTTCATGCTTCTTGGACTATGTCATGCTTCCCATTTTCAGCCTGCCAGCATCTATGATCCCAGGCAACTGAGGGACCTTCACTCAGAGAGTGGTGGGCGACAACAGTGTAAAAGTGCATGCGGGATGAGATGTGCAACAACGTAATGCCGGGGTTGTATGAGAACTGCTCTGAGCTGGACGATGACATCATTCTTTTTTCTTTTTTCTTTTTTGTAGAGCTGCATTATAGATGAAATGAACTAATTAAATAATTGATGATCTTTACATCAGAACTGAATCAACACTGAACTGAAAAAGTGCTGAAATGCATAATTTTCCTGTTATTACTGTAAAACTGCTTTAAAGGAGTAGTTCACTTTAAAAAAAAAATTGCTGATAATTTACTCACCCCCATGTCATCCAAGATGTCATTCTTTCTTCAGTCGAAAAGAAATTAAGGTTTTTGATGAAAACGCTCCAGCATTTTTCTCCACATAATGGACTTCACTGGGAACCAAACAGTTCAAGGTCCAAAAGACACTTTCAGTGCAACCTGTTCAAAGGTCTTTAAACGATTCCAGACGATGAATAAGGGTCTTATCTAGTGAAACGATCACTCATTTCATAAATAAATAACAAAGTTTAAGTTTTATAAGCTCAAAAGGTCGCCTTGCTCTGTGATGCACGTTCATGACTCCTGTTCGAACTCGTTCATCAACATGAACAAATCTTTTTCCGAGTCATTTGGTTCATTCAACGAACGAAGCGAACAAATTGACTCGGAAAAAAATTTGTTCATTTTGATGAACAAGTTCACACAGGAGAGTCACGAACGTGCATTACAGAACAGAGCAAGGCGACCATTTGAATTTTTTTTTTTTTTTTAATGAGCGATCGTTTCGTTCGATAAGACCCTTATTCATAGTCTGGAATCGTTTAAAGCCATTTGAACAGTTTGCACTGAAAGTGTCTTTTGGACCTTGAACCATTTGGTTCCCACTTCCCAGTGAAGTCCATTATATGAAGCAAAATCCTGGAATGTTTTTATCAAAAACCTTAATTTATTTCGACTGAAGAAAGAATGACACGGATGACATTGGGTTGAGTAAATTATCAGCAAAAGTTTTTTTTTTTTTTTTTTTAAAGTGAACTACTCCTTTAAAACAAGCTCTATTGTATAAAGCGCTATATAAATAAAGGTGACTTGAACTCTGTGGGAAAGGATGCAATAACACTAACATTGTTTTGTTAGTTCTAACATCAAGAAGATTCGACTTAAAAAAAACAAACAAATGGAAATAAAACCATACGCAGCCTGTTGTTTTTAAAAGCTGAACTTGTGCATACACACAGAGGGACAAAATGGATGCATTTTCTTAAAAATGTTATTGTCAGTGACAAAGGTTATAAAAATAATGTCATTTTGTATTTCTTTTGGGTTGTGGTAAACGAAAGGAAAACAGCGGAGAAAAAACAACAGTCCTGGTGTTTGTCAAATTCAGCTCGGATTAAAAAGACAACTTTGACGATAAAAATGTCCCTTGAGGAGGGCCATATGCTTAGGCTTGTCTTCTTTCCATTTCCAAGTGAATTTGACCTTTTTAGATAATAACTTTGAACTTGACGTTTGAAATGTATTTTTTAATTTGTGTTATTTTACTTTATTTCAAATTTCGTGCAAATGCCCAAACATCTTCAGCACACAACATGCGATGCTGGCATATTCCATGTATCTGTTTCTTGTTATTTTTAATCTCAGGCTTTCTAAACATGGGCCTAATGGACTTTTTAAATAACTGGGTGGCTCTCCATACAAAAGCATCTGGGAAAAGGAAGGAAGCATGGCTCAATGAGGGGAAGATGCATATATGTGTGTGTGTGTGTGTGTGAGTGTGTATGTTTAATTTGCATGGGAAAAGATTCAAGTAATAACAGACTGGACATCGCCGGTTCCTCAAACACATGTGGTCTAGTCTGCTTTAAAAAATAACATCTGTGGTGTTACAAACTTTTAGACATAAAAAAACCCTGAACCTGTTCAAACTCAAACGCTCAAAAGTATCAATTGTTTAGTATATGTATGTGTATATGTATATGTACAACATAACATAAAATGGGAATTTTCATGGGACAGAATTTTAATTTTGTATGCACTATACCTTTAACATTTTAGTGACGTCTTGTTTATCATTGCCAGAAAACATCCAGGCATAATAATCAAACTCCTGATATGTTTATAGATTATTCCATTTCTGTGAAAGTGAGGACACAAATTATAATAAAACTACAGAATTGATACATGGTGGTGTGACTCAGTTTTTTAAATTTTACGAGTTTTCAATGGGAGTGTAAAAATACTAAATAAGATTGTAAATGTGAATGCAATTTAAAACCAGCTTTGTTGCAGATTCAAAATATGAATTGCCATGGATGAATAATCTAACAGCAAAGAGACGTGTTAGGAAACAACATTAATTCATTAAAAAAATAAAAAAAATAAAATAAAAATAATACCCAGTTACCAAATGTTGAAGGAATTGTTGGTATTGGCGTCATTTGCTACTACATCCTTTAAACTACTTGGCTGACTCTAAAACTGGAGCTCAGTTTAACCCAAACTAAAACTTCAGGATGGCTTGTTTCAGCTGCCCGACTTTCAAGACACATCCAGTCATGCTAGCGACACATGCAACGTCTAATACTGAGGCCTGGGTGGGCTTGGAGAGCCAGCTAATGTATAAAATCACACGATCAAATGGGGTCACGATAATGCTTCCTCAAGACTCTAGAGGTAATGGGAAATATCTTACACAGAATAAATATTTTAAAAGCTCATTTATAACAATATTTACAACATCTTTCAATGTCCCTGAAAATGTGTTCTGGTCAATAAACATTGGTCAAACAGCCAGTGATACTAACAGACATTGAGCAAAGCTTGTGCATTACTTTGAACTTGCACCTTGTTGGTTTTGAGAAGAACAGTCCAAAAGAAAGCACAGAATGAATTAAAACCATTCTTTGAAGCAGTTTTGGTAAACAAAGAAACAGTATAAACAACTGCTGTACTTTTTCAGTAACAATTTACAAATACGTCATATTTGAAATTATGCAGAATACAATGTTGACTGAAGAATTCCTGTCCTTTTACACTAGTTTAACATACAGTGTTAAAATGTGTAAAGAATGCACTTGCCAAGAGCTATACATGAATTAATGTCAGCTGTTAGGGCTCGCAGTGGTACAAATGATAGGAATCGTACAAATTATAAGTCATGATACATACATAGACTACAGCATGTAAGGGTTTAAACTTTTGAGATGACATTATTGTGGGTGCTTTTATTATCATGGTCAGAAAACCTGCTAGTCAGACAGTGCTGTTCTGTTCACCTAATCATCTCTGTATTGTGATTATGGATAAACACCCCCCTCTACAGGGTATTTCATAGATTATTTCTAGAGGCTATTTCTGAGGTAGCCAAGCAACCGATATATTTTGATTTCAACTGAAACTTCAACCGAAAATTCACAATAAAATAAAATATTTCTTGAATTAATTCTATTTATTGTTGAATTTAATTATTATTATATTTCATATCAGTCATTTTGCAGATAACGCATTGGTATAACTTTAAAAAGTAAATGAGCAGATTAGGATAGCACAGAATATTCACTGGTATATTTTAGAAATTATCATTTAGATCAAAGAAAATGCAGAATATGGCCTTATATTAAATGATGGATTGTCATATGTGTAACGTTATGTAAAATATGCCAACTAGACGGCTAATACTATTATAAAGGGTTTTCCTTCCTTTTACAGTAGTGTACTTACCTAGAAAGTACTGGCTAATATAAGGTAAATACATGGAACAGGGGTAGGTTCAGGGTTAGTACTAGTTATTCCCCAGTAATTGTAGTTACTAAAATAAGTACATAGTATTTGCATGGGTAACTGGACTGTAAAAGGAAGCGTTACCATAAAGGCACAGAGCTTGAAAAACTTGCAACGCAATAAAACGTAAAAAGGTCGTAAAACATAAATAATTATTTCATTACTTTTACCTTACATGAATTTGTAGCACTGTATGGTTAGCTTTAATGCTAATGCATCCGGTTCGGCGTACATAGCTAGCCATGCCAATTCATTTGTATAGAAACAGGTTATGCTGGTATACAGTTAGTTTTACGCGTACTTTAAAGGGTAAAACGAAACTTTTGTGATACCCAAGAAATGAAACTTACCCACGTACATAAACGCTCTAGGATTCACTTTACCGGTAAAGAAGCAGGCAGCATCACTCAGACAATCCATTCGAGGAGAGAGCGAATAAACAGCGTCTGACCTGTCAACAATTTACTGTTGACATTTTGAAGTTGTCTAACGATGGAGAAAATGAGTTACACATTCAGTCAGCATTATGAGGAAAAAATCCGCCCTTGCATCGACACTATCGACAATTTACGTTCTTTGGGAGTCGAAAAGGACCTGGCGTTACCTGCCATCGCCGTCATTGGAGACCAAAGCTCAGGAAAGAGTTCGGTTCTGGAGGCGCTGTCAGGGGTAGCGTTACCCAGGGGTAGTGGTAAGGAGAACTGATACAATTAAAACATACCTACATAAACATTAATTCTATTCCCTTTTTCGTAATTAACTTTTAACTTTCTATCAAATACTGTGGATGTACCATGGCACAGTTATGGTAGCTACTCTCCGTACCACGATACAGAAGGATTTAAGCTTATGGATTTATATGCACAGCTGCACTACTTCCTGAACTTCAGCCAGCGCCTTTCCTGTTTGCCATTATTGGACAAACTAATTAATCCAGGTGTGCCTGATCAGTAGTCGCAACAACAATAATCAGACACACCTGGATTAATCAGTTTGTCCAATAATGGCAGACAGGAAACAAACATAACACCAAAGGCCTATCTCTTATGAAAAATTGGTCTTCGTTTCCTGTTTACACTTCTGGACTTCGGGGTCTATACGACACAAACAATTGATTGAGTAATTATACAAAAAAAATAACATTTAATTTTAATCATACAAATACTATATCTTTTTTTCTAGTATAGGCCTTCATTTCTGTGTAAAAAAAAAAAAAAAAAAAAAAAACAGATTTATGCCGGATTTTTTATTTATTTAATTTTTTTTGATACATGAAGAAAACGTATAGGTTTTTACACATTTCCCATTCATTTCAATGTTGGATCATATTGACCCCGAATACCAGGAGTGTAAACATTTTTTTTACATACCTTCAGAATAACCGAATCAAGCCCAGTTTTTTTGTGTGTATAGATAGATAATGTTTGAAAAGTCTCAAAATCTTATTCCACTGAGATGAACCTTTTTTTATTAAGTAAAAGTCAATTGGGGTTGTATAGACCCCATGACCCGATTGAGGGCTACCCTTGGTTTTAAGACAGAAAAAAACCATGGTTATTATAATTAAACCATGTTTATTCTACTATATAGTTTAACCAAAACTGTGGTTATAAAATGTTTAATTAATTAGCAAAAAAACAAAAACATGGTTAATTTTTCATAAGATATGGTGAAACTATGTGCAACCCTTTCATGTTTTGTAAGGAATTGTTACACGATGCCCTCTTGAGCTCAAGATGATAAGAACTAAAGGCGAAGAGAAATGGCATGGGAGAATCAGTTACAAGGACTACAAGGAAGACATTGTTGACCCAGCAGAAGTAGAGAAAAAGATTCGTGAAGGTAGAAAATGCTTAATGCACTTTGAGGTCTTCCAAAGGAGTAAATATACATTCCTTAAAATCTTACATAATTATGTTTGTAGCCCAGGATGAGATGGCTGGGGCAGGTGTTGGTATTAGTGACGATCTCATCAGTCTGGAGATCCGTTCTGCCAATGTTCCTGACCTCACTCTCATTGACCTCCCTGGGATTGCACGAGTGGCTGTCAAAGGTCAGCCTGAGAATATTGGAGATCAGGTAAACTTTGTATAAACTATATTTTCCAAATGACATTTTGTTGGAAAGACACAATCATTAATCAAATGCCTTTCAACTAGATCAAGAGACTGATCAGGAAGTTTGTTACAAAGCAAGAAACTATCAACCTGGTTGTGGTGCCATGTAATGTTGACATCGCGACCACAGAAGCATTGCAGATGGCTCAGGGGGAGGACCCTGAGGGCGAAAGAACTTTAGGTGTGCAATACTCATTCCATTTAAAGGCTATACATCAGTAAAACCATATGTTACCATGCATTACATTCTGATCATATTTTTACTACACAACAGGCATCTTAACAAAGCCGGATCTGGTGGATAAGGGAACTGAAGAGACGGTGGTAGACATTGTGCACAATGAGGTCATTCACCTTACTAAAGGCTACATGATTGTAAGGTGCAGGGGACAAAAAGAGATTATAGATCAGGTCACTCTTAATGAGGCCACATTAACAGAGGATGCCTTCTTCAAAGACCATCCTCATTTCAGGTGGGTAAATGGTTGAGAGTTGAGCTGAACAAATGGTTTAATGTCAAACCTTTAATCTACAAATACATATATCAGCATAGTGTTTACTGAGAACCTTTATGTGAGCGGCATGGATAACGTTTTTGCATGCATGCTTGTTTGCACAACTGTACTTAGTAAATCAGGTTGTGTATGCGACCATGCAATCATAAGTGCAAACCGATTAGTATTTGAGATTTTAGTAATTCTGTGCTTTTATAGATCGCATGATGTATAAATGCCATTTTTCTCTCAGCAAACTCTATGAAGAAGGTTTTGCTACTATTCCCAAGTTGGCTGAGAAACTAACAATTGAATTGGTTCACCACATTCAGGTGAATTAATTCATTTCAACATAAGATAACTACAGGATTTCTAGACTTATAATAAACAGCCCATTTTCATAATTGCCATGTAGAAATCCCTGCCTCGTTTAGAAGAGCAAATTGAGACAAAGCTCGCTGAAACACAGAAGCAACTGGAGGCATACGGCAACGGACCCCCATCAGATCCTGCAGAAAGACTGAGCTTTCTCATTGATGTGAGTACAGCCTTGAAATCTACTATATCAAAGCATGAATATTTAGTAAAGGGTCATACTGATATCTGAAAGTCACTGAAATCTTTCACATCTTATCACTATATTTAGAAAGTTACAGCTTTCACTCAGGATATGTTCAACCTGACCTCTGGGGAGGAATTAAAGTGTGCTTCAGATCTACTGATTTTTCCAGAACTTCGGGAAGAATTTGCAAAATGGAATGACTTCTTAAACCGTTCAGGAGATTCCTGTGAGTGAAGCTTGTACTTGGTATCTCCTGATTGTACTCTTGCTTTTGACCAATGTCAAAAATAATTTTAAAAATCATTTTCACATCTGATGCATCCTGTTTTAGCAGTTGCAATCAATAAATTAACAGCCTAAACTGATAAATTGATCTTAAATTACTTTTAGAAGCCAAACTCAAAACTGAATTGTGGAATTTGATTTTTTTTTTTTTTCTGACAATGTTCAAAAACTCTGTGCAGTCAAGAAGAAGATTAAGAAAGAAGTTGATAACTATGAAGCCAAATATCGGGGAAGAGAGCTTCCAGGATTCATCAATTACAAGACCTTTGAGGGGCTTGTCAGGGAACAGATCAAGCTGTTGGAGGAACCTGCATTAAAGACACTGAAGACTGTCTCTGGTTTGTGTTGTTTTTCTATTTCAAATCTATGTATGTAGTCTTTTTTTTTTTTTTGCTACATTATACTATTTACAGAAGTTATTCTGACTGTACTGTTGAGGACACTCTCAGAATGTTGCACATTGATAATTAACATCTTGAGTATAATCGGCATTGACAATTTTCACGTGGGCCTGACAGTGTGCCTGGGCTCTTGGTCATGCTGAAAAAAAAACTGTTGCCTCGAAGATAAAATCTTAGAATTGTCATGAAAACCAGGTTCAGGAAATACCAAACACAATGAACTTTCCAGTTGGCACAATGCATTTGTTGGTAGTTTTATTGCCTAATGTGGATAAATATCAAAGGTAACCCATGAACTTAACATTCTCTCCTTGAGTAAGGCATGTAAGGCAACTAGATTCATTGGCTAATGAACATTGAATGTGAAAGTTTGCATTTGTACCAACAGTGTGTTTGTATTCAAATAGATGTGGTTAGAAAGAGGTTCATTCAGGTGGCCCAGTGCAGCTTTCTTGGCTTCCCTAATCTTCTGAAAATAGCAAAGGTACAAAATGTATTTATGCTAATAAATTCCACAGAATTACAAGTCACATTAATTTTCAATGTTCAATTATGCCTTTAAATCACAATACAGATTTAAAGAAATTGTGTTCTTGTTTCATTTTTCAACTAATCTTTTATTTACTTTCTTAGACTAAGATCGAAGCCATCAAGCTGGATAAAGAATCCTTTGCAGAAACCATGCTGAGGACCCAATTCAAAATGGAGCTCATTGTTTACAGTCAAGATGGCTCATACAGCCAGAGCCTGCAGTATGCAAAGGATAAAATGGAAGAGATGGAAAATGGCATGGTCATATTTAAAAACACAAAAAAGGTGACACCTATTGTAGATGTTAGCACAGGCAGTCATGCCACCTTGCGAGAGATGAGGTTGCACCTAGAGTCCTACTTCACGGTAAGTGTGCCAACTAAAGCTTTATGTGCCATCAGAGGAAGCTCAAAATGTACTGTATATCTGAGATGCTGTCTTACCTCACCAGATTGCAAGCAAGCGTCTAGCCGACCAGATCCCAATGGTGATCCGCTATATGTTGCTCCAGGAAGCAGCTTTGGAGCTGCAAAGGAACATGTTGCAGTTGCTGCATGATAAAGATGGTGTGGACAACCTGCTTAAAGAAGACTTTGACATTGGACAAAAGCGGGAGGGCTTACTGAGTCGCCAGAAACGTCTGATGAAAGCACGAAGCCTCCTGGTTACCTATTAAAATTCACTTCCATTATATAGTCGACTGCAACAGTTTTAATGCAACAAAATCATATGCTGGTTGTCAAAAAACATGAGCAGCAATGTAGAATAGAGAATAGAATGGAGTAGAATTTGAGCACTTAAATGAACTTTAATTTTACACCACCACCCGGAGTGCCTCTTTATGCAATATTATTGTACTTACCTTTTTCCAGAGTCAATAAAGTTGTGTACTACTTTTGGGTCAAGCGAAGTACATTGTAGTGTCTTATCAGAGTATCTATTGGTGATGCATCAGAACTTTTATTTAAAAAAAACCCAACAACTTCATGACACCTCAAAATCATAAAGCCAAAAAATTATCCTTAATTTATTCATTGTCAACTTATAAGGCATGTTGCTACCTTTCTGGAAAGACACGGCTAGATGTCAAACACGGTCGACGCGGTCGTGGTGTCGATAAATGAGCCGTCATGGCCACGGAGTCCAGTTCTATTCCTAGAAAAGAAATTGACTGACTGGGCAGTCATGAGCTCTTGGTCTGGTTGACCGTGAGAGCCAAGCTTTCGAGGTGACTGAAAAGCACAGTTCTGAATCTGTGAGATAGCAGTTCTGACTCTGACTGTGCCAAAATCAGCCAGTCATCTAGAGTTCATACACAAACCCTGATTTCTCAAGGGGGCGAGAACCGCGTCCATGCACTTCTTACATGTACAGGGTGCTAGAGACAGGCCGAACGGCAGGACAGGGCATCTTTCAATCGAGAGAGGGGGGGACGAATGAAAAAACTGTAGCGAATGGCCCTGCCTTATTGTGCTTAGCACCCATTCTGAAACCCTTGCCCTGTTTTATACATGTACAGCTAGGGGCTGAATGGCATTGGGGTTCTGATCGCCACACTGTGTGGGCCCTAGAAACTGAATCGGAAGTGTGGGCGTGACGCGCACGCCTTATACGCACAACCGGCGCTGCGTCATAGAATGTCTCTGTATAGGTTCACGCCCACTTTTGTGGGAAAACAAACTAGACTGCCCATAGACTTCAATACAAAATAACGGCAAAAACCAACGTCTGTATACAGCCGACAGACGTAAATAACTTAAGAAATCACTTATATAAAACATGTCAGGTAATTATATGTCCACCCTGCCTGCCAAAGAGCCTGAAAGATACATACACAAACTTAATTTGGCCAATTTAAAAACATGTCCCTTTATTCTCCAAGCGTCAAATTGGTGAAACAACCCCACCCAGTGGCCAGAGGTGTCTTACCCGGACATTTGCTTGTACCTCATAGAGGTAATTAGACTAAAATTAGACTTAACTTCAGCCTTTGATACAGTTGACCATAAAACTCTATTATCCCGACTAGAATACTCTGTGGGCATCCAAGGAACTGTCCTCAGCTTATTTAGATCTTATCTTAAGTTACAAATAGAACTTTGTCTGTCAAACTGGGTAACTTCTAGCCTGGTTCAACCAGACTCTAGTTCATTTCATGTACTGAAGTAAAATGAAATTGAGCGGAAGTGCGTAGGAGGGCGCAGCCAGGCTAGGCAACTTCTTCCTCCCCAGCCCAACTCTCTTGTGGAGTGCCGCAGGGGTCAATTCTCGCACCCATTCTATTTTCCATATATTTGCTTCCTCTGGGCTCCATTTTCAGAAAGCATGGTGTATCATTTCACTGCTATGCAGATGATACACACATTTATTTCCCTCTGAAACGAAGCAAAGAGACTGCTCTAAAATTTATTTTTGCATGCCCAGAGGAATCTTGATCCAAAGTCATCTTGCATTAAGAACCTTGGTGTTCTCTGGGATCAAAACCTCAAATTCGAAAAACAAATTAATACAGTGATTAGTGCTTGCTTCTTTCAGTTACGTCTCCTCTCGAAAATCAAATCTTCCCTTTCTGATAAAACTTTAGAGATTGCTATCCATGCGCTCAATGAATCGCGGTTAGACTATTGCAACTCTCTCTACTTTGGCATACCCAAACATTCCATTGCTCGTCTCCAATTAGCACAGAATGCTGCTGCAAAGTTCCTCAAAAGAAAACGCAAATTTGATCATGTTTCACCTATCTTAAAATCTCTGCACTGGCTACCTGTGCATTTTAGAATCGAGTTTAAAATTCTTTTATTTGTTTTTAAATATGTAAATAACCTTGCACCAAGCTATCTGTCTGAGCTACTCTCCCCACACAACCCTACACGAATCCTGGTGTAGTCTGGTGATCAGAGACTTCTGTCGGTCCCCTGATCACGGCTAAAGAACAGAGGGGACAGAGCCTTTGCTGTTGCTGGTTAAATGTCATAATTAGCCAGCATAAGCCTCAAATGAAATAAAAATGTGGTATTTGTGATCATTAAACTGTGTATTATTAATTAATATATAAAATAAATGGTTTCTGTTTTATAAAATTTAACCAGTGCTAATTAAAATAAAATTAATGAATTTGAATGGATGAATGAACAAACATGTTCCCCAATTGTTATTTTTTTATATGTCTTTATTTATTATATTTTCAATGAACGATTACCTTTACATCATTAAAAATGGGTGTCTCAACTGTACCATGTCTCAACTGTACCACATATGGGTACAGTTGAGAAAGTTGAAACAAAAAGCACCTTTTTTATGAGCTAGCCTAATTGTGGAAAATATAAACTACTTATGAGTAATATTGATTGATAATATCTTAGTCTAAAAGCTAATGAAATGTCATGGCATGTCATGTGGAAATTCACCTTTCAGTAGCCTATCTATTTTTGTGTGAAAAATCAAAACGCAAAAAGTGTCTCAACTGTAGCCTACCCTACCCTAAAACCGACTCTCAACATACTGCGGAGTTAGTTGCTTACTGCACCAAGTTTGTCATTTTTCTCTTCGTTTTTGGGTTGCTGGTTCCAAAATTACCTGAAATTGTAAGTTGTGCTCAGCTTCTTTCACCTCAGAATACAGGAAGCCAAAAGCACACTTTTTATATCTGCAATGAAAGAATTTCATTTTGGTAATATTTCTATTATTATTTTTCAATTACTCTCTGATTTATATTCCAGACTGATTACCTGGTCATTATCAGAAATTTGTGATAAATATCTATTTTGTAGCTTTAAATGACCTGGAACACATTTGGAAGCTATTATGTCGAAAAGTTTGTCGAAATGTCAAAATAACGACTATAGCTTTTTATGTTGAAAATAACAACTTATGTTAAAATAACGATATATCGAAATAACGAGATATTTTGTTGAAAAGGACTTAATTGTTGTGGTGCTTTGATCTTTCTTGCGGGTGATGTGCAGCTGAGTCCCTCCCTCGCACCGCCCATGTTGAGAAATGAAACCTTTCTTCAAAGGATGAAACGAAACTATTGTGATATCCAGGAAATTAAACTTCACCTTACCGGTACAGCATCACTCTCTCTGAGACAATCCAACGCGTTCTCATCCCAAAGCGCCATATAGGACGCTTTTGCAAAAGCGTAAAAAGCAAAACAGCGCCTGAAAAAGTAACCTATTTTGTTATTAGACATTTCCGACGTGGTTGAGGATGGAGAAAATAAGTTATACGTTCAGTCAGCAATATGAGGAAAAAATCCGACCTTGCATCGACACTATCGATAATTTACGGTCTTTGGGAGTCGAAAAGGACTTGGCTTTGCCTGCCATCGCCGTCATTGGAGACCAAAGCTCAGGAAAGAGTTCGGTTCTGGAGGCGCTGTCAGGGGTAGCGTTACCCAGGGGAAGTGGTAAGGACAACACACACACACACACACACACACACACACACGCACGCATATATATATATATATATATATATATATATATATATATAGAGAGAGAGAGAGGGGGGGGGGGGGGGGGGGGCTGGGGGTAAAGTAATTACCAGAGCTTCTCTATGATTTTATAGTCCCGTCTGAATTTTCCCAAGTAATCACGTGCGAATAGACCAGCTATGATGTTAGCCTTTATTGAGCTCTGTTGGTTGAACATGAGCCGAATATAAAGGTGTAACTGTTTTTGCAGTTTGACTATTAATTTTTCTACTGTGTAAGGTTTAATTACTATTTAAGTCATTTTTTTTTCTAGGAAAAAACTATAGACCCACTCACATTTCCACTGGCCCACCAAATATTGATTCCTGAACTCTTCCTAAGTTAAAACATTAGTATTTTGTTGTTTAAAAATGCATATGAACTTATTTTCTTTCCATTATTCGAGGTCTGAAAGCACTGCATCTTTTTTGTTATTTTGACCATATGTCGTTTTCGGCAAATAAATGCTCTAAATAACCTGTGGTAAAATTACATAACTCCATCTACCCTAGTAAAGCTAATCCCACCCGAATAGGGCTTAAGGCTCTTCAAAGAACATGGTAAAACTACATCTGGCCTCCACCATTTTGTACAGGAATTGTTACCCGATGCCCTCTTGAGCTCAAGATGATAAGAACTAAAGGCGAAGAGAAATGGCATGGGAAAATCAGTTACAAGAACTTTGAGGAAGACATTGATGACCCAGCAGAAGTGGAGAAAAAGATTCGTGAAGGTAGAAAATGCTTAATGCACTTTGAGGTCTTCCAAAGGAGTAAATATACATTCCTTAAAATCTTACATAATTATGTTTGTAGCCCAGGATGAGATGGCTGGACCAGGTGTTGGTATTAGTGATGATCTCATCAGTCTGCAGATCCATTCTGCCAATGTTCCTGACCTCACTCTCATTGACCTCCCCGGGATTGCACGAGTGGCTGTCAAAGGTCAGCCTGAAAATATTGGAGATCAGGTAAACTTTGTATAAACTATATTTTCCAAATGACATTTTGTTGGAAAGACACAATCATTAATCAAATGCCTTTCAACTAGATCAAGAGACTGATCAGGAAGTTTGTTACAAAGCAAGAAACTATCAACCTGGTTGTGGTGCCATGCAATGTTGACATCGCGACCACAGAAGCATTGCAGATGGCTCAGGAGGAGGACACTGATGGTGAAAGAACTTTAGGTGTGCAATACTCATTCCATTTAAAGGCTATACATCAGTAAAACCATAGGTTACCATGCATTATATTCTGATCATATTTTTACTACACAACAGGCATCTTAACAAAGCCGGATCTGGTGGATAAGGGCACTGAAGGGACAGTGGTAGACATTGTGCACAATGAGGTCATTCACCTTACTAAAGGCTACATGATTGTAAGGTGCAGGGGACAAAAAGAGATTATAGATCAGGTCACTCTTAATGAGGCCACATTAACAGAGGATGCCTTCTTCAAAGACCACCCTCATTTCAGGTGGGTGAACGGTCTTAACTTTTAGTGAATCGCCTGCAGGATGCCCATAAAGTGCGCATGCAGATTTACCCATTATTTGGTATTTTAATAAATCAGGGCTGTTGTGTCCAGCTACAGGTCAATTTTATGATTTTGTTTTTCTCTCAGCAAACTCTATGAAGAAGGTTTTGCTACTATTCCCAAGTTGGCTGAGAAACTAACAATTGAATTGGTTCACCACATTCAGGTGAAATAATCTTTAGTAACAACAACAAAAAAAGGCCTACAGGATTTCTAGACTTATAATAAACAGCTCATTTTCATAATTGCCATGTAGAAATCCCTGCCTCGTTTAGAAGAACAAATCGAGACAAAGCTCGCTGAAACACAGAAGCAACTGGAGGCATACGGCAACGGACCCCCATCAGATCCTGCAGAAAGACTGAGCTTTCTCATTGATGTGAGTACAGCCTTGGAATTTACACAGCTACTATATCAAAGAAGTGTGAATATTTAGTCATATTAATAAAAGTCTATTAATCTTTCACATTTTATCACTGAATTTAGAAAGTTACATCTTTCACACATGATACCCTCAATCTGACCTCTGGAGAAGAGGTTAAATGTGGATCAGATTTACTGATTTTTCCAGAACTTCGTAAAGAATTTGAAAAATGGAATGACTTCTTGATTCGGTCAGGATATAACTGTGAGTAAAACTTATGTAGGCTACTGTTGATTTTGTTTGTTTGTATACAAATACTTTAACCATATCCACATCTGAAGTAAATTTTACTGACCTAAATTGCTTATTTAATCTAAGTAACTTTTTACTTTGAATCAAAGTCATTTTTGGATTATTGGAAAATAAATATGTGGTAAATGTAAACATAAGAGTGCCTTCTGACATTATTCATAAATCCTTTGCAGTCAAAACAAAGATTGAGGAAGAAGTTGATAATTATGAAGCCAAATATCGGGGAAGAGAGCTTCCTGGATTCATCAATTACAAGACCTTTGAAGGGCTTGTTAGGAATCAGATCAAGCTGTTGGAGGAACCTGCCTTAAATACACTGAAGACTGTCTCTGGTTTGTGTTTTTTTATAAATATATATATTTTTATACTTTGTTTCTACAGTTTTTTTTTAATCTTTTAATAATGTGTTGAATATTTTGGTAACACTTTACCTGAAGGGGTGTGCATAAGACTGACATGACACCCTCATAATCATGACATGATGTCATGAATAGGAAGGAGGGTTCAAGCAGGTTTATGACAACTGTCATTAAGTGTCTTTCGCTTAATTATGACATTTTTAATGCAAATATGACATTGTTAGAGATTACTTGGGAATGATACCTTGACATAAACCAATACGTCATAACCTGTCAGTGTCTTTGTCATGACAACTTGACATTACTAAGAGAACACAACCTGCCATAAACATGACATAGCAGATTAATTATCAAACTTAAGAAACCACGTTGCGGTTTTGACATTGGCTGTGATAAGTGTGGCTGGCTATGTCATGTTTATGACAGCATGTGTTGTCTTAGTAATGTCAAGTTGTCATGACAAAGACACTGACAGGTTATGATTTTATGGTTTATGTCAAGTTGTCAGGTGTCATGTCAGTCATGCACACCCCTTCAAGTAAAGTGGTACCAATATTTTCATATGGATCTTGTGCACAGGCCCTTTGTCATTATGAAACTGGTGGAGTCTTAGAACCAGTAAATCTAAATCCATTTTAACCACAACTGAACTGAACTTTCCGGTTTATCCAATTGATTTGCTGATTGTTTTATTTGTTGACAATACGTTTTGTTGCCTAGTGGATAAATATCAAAGATCACATTGAAAGGTGACTCATTAACACACTATGTCCTCAAGTAAAGCATGTAACCTTAAAGGAGTAGTTCACTTTAGAAAAAAAAAATTTACTCACCCCCATGTCATCCAAGATGTTCTTTTCAGTTGAAAAGAAATGAAGGTTTTTGATGAAAACATTCCAGCATTTTTCTCCATATAATGGACTTCAATGGGAACCAAACGGTTCAAGGTCCAAAAGACACTTTCAGTACAAACTGCAAACCGTTCAAAGGGCTTTAAACGATTCCAGAAGACGAATAAGGGTCTTATCAAGTGAAACGATCGCTCATTTAATAAATAAATTACAAAGTTTAAGTTTTATAAGCACAAATGCTCGCCTTGCTCTGTACTGCGATGCACGTTCGTGACTGTCCTGTTCATCAAAGTGAACGAATCTTTTTTCCAAGTCAATTCGTTCATTTCGTTTGTTGAATGAAAGTTCCTATCCGGATCAGATTGATCCAATCCGATGTTGCTTTGAAAAACTGGCTCGAAAGTAAGCTGGATTTACGTGATCACGGATCGCAAAAAAAAAAAAAAAAAAAGGATTACTAAATCCGGATCAATTTGAAAAACCGGGCCCTGGATTCACTGGATAATCAAGCTTTCAAGCTGGAAGTTTGGTAAAGAAGCTATATTAACAGTGTTTTTATATTTACATAGATGTGGTTAGAAGGAAGTTCGTCCAGCTGGCACAGTGCAGCTTCATTGGATTCCCTAATCTTCTGACAACAGCAAAGGTAGTTTATATTTTTTTGAATGACAATGTTTCTGGCAATACACAAATTCAGTGTTCATTTCAAACATCTTAGTTGGATTTCTTGGACTGTCAAGTAGACACAGTTTGACAAATTGATTGAATGTTAATATCACATTCTACACAAATAAATCACAGTACTTTTCAGTGACAAATATTTTATCACTTATCAGTTTTTTTAAATACTTTCTAAGACTAAGATCGAAGCCATCAAGCTGGATAAAGAATCATTGGCAGAATCCATGCTGAGGACCCAATTCAAGATGGAGCTCATTGTTTACAGTCAAGATGGCTCATACAGCCAGAGCTTGAGAGATTCAAAGGAAAAGATGGAAGAGGATGGAGACAGTTTTGGTAGCATAAGCTTTAGCACAGACAATCATGCTACCTTGCGAGAGATGAGGTTGCACCTAGAGTCCTACTTCACGGTAAGTGTGGCAACTAAAGCTTTATGTGCCATCAGAGGAAGCTCAAAATGTACTGTATATCTGAGATGCTGTCTTACCTCACCAGATTGCAAGCAAGCGTCTAGCCGACCAGATCCCAATGGTGATCCGCTATATGTTGCTCCAGGAAGCAGCTTTGGAGCTGCAAAGGAACATGTTGCAGTTGCTGCATGATAAAGATGGTGTGGACAACCTGCTTAAAGAAGACTTTGACATTGGACAAAAGCGGGAGAGCTTACTGAGTCGCCAGAAACGTCTGATGAAAGCACGAAGCCTCCTGGTTACCTATTAGAAATCACTTCATATAGCTGATTCCAACAGTTTCAATGCAACAAATAATAATAAAACGAACTCTCAATTGGTCATAGCTTGAAATATTCAACATGGGAAACAATAATGTAAACTTGCATGATGTTGTTGTTTTATTTTGGAAAATTCAATTGAGCAAATTTCAAGAAACATAAGAATTCTTTGCAGCAACTTTTATGTAGAGAGCAACCATACATTTGTGTTGTTTTACTTCCTTTAGTATTAATTCATTTATAATCATTTAATCAATGTATTATTCCATTTAATGGTATAATCATTTAAACCATTTACTTATTACACTAATTCATTAATTGATCAGTCATTTTATATTATCATTTATGAGTCCTTATTGAAGAAAAGTGAATGATCTAAGGATTTTAGCAACCTGGAGAGAGAGAGAGAGAGAGAGCACAACTATATATTTGACTGTTTTATTTCCTTTAATATTCATCATTTTCTTATTCTATTTAATAATGTAAAAGTTTATATTAATTATTTGAACCATTCATATTCTAGACTGATCAGTTATTTTATACTATTTTTCCTTCACGGTTTAACCTTAGCTTTATGTTTTGAGCTGGGTTGTCTTCAAGAATAAGACATACGAGAATGTCTTTATTTCACGGTTTTTAACAATCGCAGATTTTCCATTGCTACTGCTTGTATAATAACACTTATTGAATTTGTGCTGCTCAGACAAAGTTTTACTGAGCATTAAAATGCTCAGTAAAAAATAATCAATTATGATTATTAAATAACCTAGGGTCATTTTACCATCACTTTGTCTTCTGCTTTCAGAAAATGGTCTACGGAAGATGTCATCAATCTGACTCTTGGGCTCATTGAAGCATTTATGTCTGTCATTTCTCTCCAATAAAATTTTGTTTTAGATTGTTGTTTTCATGGACACAAATCATAAACGATCCCACTACAATGGTCACACACTACATCTCTCCTTTATTAGTGACTTTATAAACTACAGAGTCTTCTTTCATTGCTTTTGAAAGAAACTTAAATCTAAATGACTGGACAACTACATTCCTTCTCTGGGGAACAACTAAACTATAGGCAAATGATAACAGGGGTCAGAGCGGCACATACCATTGTACAGCAATAACGATTATGCGCATTTTCTCTGTTGTGATTTACACCTTACACAGGAAGGCAATTTTAACCACAGCATGGTTAAAAAAAACAACTAAACTAAATAACTACAATAAAAAGATGCTTGATAGCATAAACATTCATTACATATATACATTTGTACAATGTTTGTCAAACAAAGACAGATAGGACCAATATCCCAAAAAGCAAGCTATTGAAGAAGCCAGACACTACTTGTCTGTGTGGGATTTGAGCTTCCTCTCCCAAAGTTTCTGATGGTCTGAGAACCCCTGCTTTCCTTTGTTGAAGGAATTGGGTCCAGCTGATGTGGGCGTTTCTCTGAAAATCAAAAGGTTGTAAACAGTACTGTATTATACCATACAGTACTATAACTTACAATTGAAATGAAGTTTAATTGAATTAAAATGAAATCCAACCTGCCAATATTCTTCATCCTCATCTTTGCTTCAGGTGGCATTTCTTCAGGCTCGCTCTGAAACATAAAACAAAACTGGCATTTAAACACAGTGCATGCAAATTTATCAGGTAAGATGATATTCTGATCACATTTTGACCAATTCCAAACCACATCAATCATAACTTCTAATATACATCATCTATAAGTGATATATAATTGTTAACAAGGGATGGAAGTGAAAAATGCCTTATTCTGATGTGCTTAATAAATAAACAGGTTTTCTTTTACAGGTAATTTAACTCACAAATTATGAAATGTCCATGAGAAGGATGCAATGCTACAGAAATTTCAAAATTATAACGAGACAAAAAAAAAAAATGATGATCAGAATATCTAACTTGCCTAATAATTATGCACACACTGTTTTATATTAAACATAAATACTATGTCAAAACAGTAATTATGTAAGAAACAAATTTAACGAGCAAAGCACAAACAAATATTACATGACTTCACACAAAAATCATTATTATTAAATTACTATATTAATGAATGACACGTACATCATCATCCTCGTTAAAAACAGATGCAAGTCCAGCTTTCTTGGCGGGTAAGGCAGGTGTGGGTTCTTTAGGTTTCTAAAAATAGGAGGAACAAAACACCATTTTTAAATGTTCACAATTCAAAAGCTCAAAGTATTATTATTTAGTTTAAGAAAAATCTTTATAGAAGTATGTAAGCAGAACACCATATACATACACTAGCTCCAAGCTTGATAGAGATGGACGTAGGCTTCTTCGCAGTCATGCTAAACCCCGATTTAAACATTTTCGGGGGAGCTGGATTGCTTTTAGCCTCATCTTCTGGATCGCTCTCATGAGCAGGCCGCTTTCGCAGACTGTCCCCTGATGCCGTGCTGGAAGAGACAGTCTTAGTTTTCACACTGCTTCCCTTCTCTTCTGGTCCTGCTGGAGGCGAAACAACTTACCAAGGTGAGCGACTGTTGCCTTGGAGACCAAAGGTGAGCTAGTTACCTGAAAGATGAGGGACGCCAGGAGGACCTGCTCAGAGAGAAGCTGTTGAGCCTAAAATCTAATTGATTAGCTTGATTCATTTGATTAGAACTAATTGTCAGATACAACAGCAATACCAAATAAAATGGAACTGGCTGCTTTCAGCAAAAAATGGAATTTGAAGTTGCTATTGAAAAAAATGTTATTGCTATTATAAAATATGCTATTGTCTAGTTACAAACATTACAATATTGCAGAACCACATTACATAGATGGTAATAATTCCTATAGTATATAAAAGTACTATGGTATTACTGGTCTGATTATACCATACGTGTAATCTGGTTCTGCCATAGTAATGTTTGTAACGATAGACAATAGCACGTACTATTATCCATATGCTTTATTACCATATGATATCACCTATAGTATTTACATGACAGTTTACGGTCGAATCACACCACCATATATTTACCATAGGGGTCATGGTAATAATTAGTAGGCTAATTGTCATGTATGTACTTACTCACCGTCTTATACTAACATTGAGGTATTCTTCGCATTTACATAACGTAAATTGCCATGGTAATAAAATGGCGTAACGTTAGTGATTCTATCATAGAGTACCGTAAATACCATGGGTTGTATGGTAATAATAATTCATATGGTAAATATCAAAGAACCATGGAACAGATTTGATGTCATCAAACACAGTAATACCATAGTACTTTGATAATTACCATACAACCTTTGGTATTTACATAGTACTCTTTGATAGGATCACTACGCCATTTTATTACCATATATAACGTTATGTAAAGGCATTTCTAAGAATACCTCAATGATTTTATAAAACGGTAAATACATAAACATCACGTTATTAAAACGCATGTACCATGGTACTCAAATGAACTTCCGCGAATGAATTAAGTTATGTTAATTTACAAATCCATAAACTCATGGTACTTATTTTGAGCTTCTGTTTGCGAATGGATCAAAGATCCACCGATCAAAATTCAGCTGGGCAAAATACAACATTCTTATGCATTTGATGTTGTTAAGGTAACGTACATTAGATATTAGTGTTAAATATTACGCATCTGAAACCACATCATGGAACAGAAAACAGCTCGTTACTATTACCAGCTAACATAGCTAGCATGCTAAATTTAGTTCCAAAAAAGTCCACATCTATGGCTATAACTTTATTTTTTAACTACATTAAGAAAATACAAGTACTACAAATATTCCCGAAGACCTTTAAGAGTTAATTAATTTGAAAATTAAAACAGTTTTGACAGTTTCACCTCCTTCTTTAGAGGGGCCTTCGCTGCAGCACTTCACATTCGCCATCGTATGATTCTGCTTTGAACAAGTACGGCTCCCGGATAGGACAAAATACCTCTGCAGTCGCAACAAGAAAAGAATCAAACCCTCCTTTGTACTGCTCCTGCTCTTCCACTGATAAACATCGCCATCTAGCGTACAGAGTGAGCCAATATGACCAAATCCTGGAAATTAAGTGACAGAAGCACATGTGCAATATATATTCAATATATATGAATTGATATAGTATATATATCAATATATATACTATATACAATATATACAATATATACAATACAGATATATATATATATATATATATATATATATCTGTAGTGTTCTATTAAATATGGATAACAATGGGCCGCTCTAAACACCATTAAAACAAAAATATAAAATAGGCCTGTAGACTGAATATAGGCCTAGGCTGTCTGCATTTTTTAAAGATTTTTGCTCATCATTTTGCATGTTATTGGTGTTGTCATGTTTTATTTATTTTTATTTTCTGTCATCAATCAAATATTTTCATATAAATTTTGATAATTTGTATGCCCCTTTATATCTTTATTAAATGATAATTTTTTATTAAACTTTTTTTTCCAATGAAAAGTTTGCCAGGGCAAGGGTGACCATTAGGAGCTTATAAAACTTAAACTTTGTTGTTATTTTTATTTAATTTTTTTTTTAATAAGCGATCGTTTCGCTTGATTAGACCCTTATTCATTGTCAAATCGTTTAAAGCCCTTTGAACAGTTTGCACTGAAACTGTCTTTTGGACCTTGAACCGTTTGGTTACCAGTAAAGTGCGTTATATGGAGAAAAATCCTGGAATGTTTTCATCAAAAACCTTAATTTCTTTTCGACTGAAGAAAGAAAGACATGGACATCTTGGATGACATGGGGTGAGTAAATTATCTGCAAAAGAGATTTTTTTTTTCTTCTTTTTTTTTTTCCCCCAAAAGTGAACTACTCCTTTAAGGAAATGCAAATTCACATGTACAGTGGAGCGCACATGCTCAAACAAACCCCGCAGGTTTGCATAATATTCTTTATTAGTTTTTATTTATTGAATCTGTTTTTGAAAGTGAGATGAGTAGGGTAAATAGGCTACATGCTCATTAACCTAGCACTACAATGGGCTATATGCACGCACGCATAAATTCCGCATTTGACGCAAGGATGCTCGTCCATTTCCGGTTGTGGAGATTATAGCGGAGGAAAACCGAGGAAAACGGGATTATGGCAGAGTCTTCAAAATGTACTGTCCTCCAGTCTTTGAAATGAAACGTACATACCACGTTTAGATGTAATTTTATATATAGTTATATTTATATAAGAAGAAATAGAAGCATAAACACAACAAGGGGTGTCTGTTTTATCTGTTTTTGTGACTAACGTTTCTTTAGTATAACCATGGAGTATAAAATTCAATATAAATTCTGGGTATTGCATTGGACTCTACGATCGGCGGAAGTTATCGAGCATCCCTAATGCTTCACCGGAAATACCGCCGTGCATAGAGCCCCAGCATCATGTTAACACAGAGGCGTTGTGTGCATTTAGTCCCGATTACTCTCAACACGAGGAGAGTACGTCATTTAAGAAATGTTAAACAAAGTAAACCCATTAGGCTACTTATTTGTAAAAGTAATTCAGATATTTTGTTGTAGTTTCAGAAAGACTGAATCCAGCATGGATGATTTTCACCTCAAACATAAACTATGCTTAAATCTTTTTAAATTATATTTATATATATATATATAAACATCTTTTTTTTATAGGCATCTCTTATCTAGAACTTTAACATACTCTCGTGCTTTACATTGTGACTAAATCGATTAGCATAAAAAGGAAGAACTCTATGTACTTTTGGAAAAAGGTTTATTGTGAAATGACTGTGTGAAAATTGGGATGGGGGAATATTGGCAGCCTGGCCACAGCAATGTCATGTGCCTTTAACACACAGCTGGCGATGCTGTTGTAACCCTGGATGGGTGGAGAAAGAGGAAACCAACCCTCACTTCATGAGTGGCCTTTTCCTTCTTCCCCGGTCTCCATCCCACTGTGGACAGCCGCCCCGGGCGGAACAAGAAGGCAAGGAGGGTCAGCTGCATGACGATGTAACTTCCAAAAAGGTGGGCGAGAGGGGAGAAAACAAATAAAGGGCAGAAAAACCAGAACGGTTTAGAAGTGACATCCCATAGTCATTTTTTTATTGATTGGTCTTCGAAACAGAATGGATGTCCTGACACCATGGGGTCTGCAGATATATTTCAGCCTTCTTCACCACTCCCTCGACGGAGGGCCTCTTACACGGACAAGATGTGCTTGACAAAAGCTGTAAGAGGAGAAGCAGACATGCGTAAGGAAAGATCATCCCAACTGGCTCGCCATACAAGGCCTGAGGTGGCTTCTAAAAATAATGGTCGTAATCATACAGTGACAGGTGAGCTTATGAGATCATTCAAATCAATGCAGAAAGACTGCCTCGTAAAAATACAGGTTTTCCCAGTGAACCATTTTTGGCTCAAGAACCTTTCTTCATGATTAAGAACTTTTGGGGTAATGTAAAGGCTCCATGGATGCCAAAGGCTCTTAAAGGAACCATAGTTTTCAATAAAGACACTTCATTTTTAAGAGTGAAGGGTTAAATAAGAAGGGGATTTCCAAACACACACCCTCATAGTGGATACTGCCGTTCTCATCCTCCTGTCCCTGCATGAGAGAGTCAATCTCGGGCTCTGTCATCTTCTCACCTGACGGTGACATGAAAGGTATTGGTTAAGACAAATCTTTAACATATATTAAAAAAATATCCATGGTATTATTATGGCTTTTGGACAAGAGTACCTAAGATTACAATGGGACACTTGTAAAATGCTGGGAAAAGTCCAAACGGTGGGAAAATTTTAAAACCAACGGTTGAGTTTGTCCATATTTGACCCAAACAAGGGTTTTGAAACAACCCAGCATTTTTTATAGTATAAATATGGTACTTAGTCCATACTCTTAATCATATTAATAACTATATTCATTTGTCAATCAATAGAAAACTAGCAGTACCGTGCTATTTTTTGGGAAATCGTCAAATAATCCTAAAAAATGCATCACAGTTTCCACAAAAATAAATAAATATTACGCAGCACAACTGGTTTCAACATTAATAATAATAGGAAATGTTTCTTGAGAGCCAATTTAGCAAATTAGAATGAATTCTGAAGGAAATTTGTGACAATGAAGACTGGAGAAGTCATTACATGATGTAATTAAATTTTAAAATAACAACATATCATTACAATATTTTACTCTATTTTTGATCATAAACGCAGCCTTGGTGAGCATATGAGACTTATCTAAAAAAATAATAATAATAAAAATTCTTACTGACTCCAATGTTTTGAAAAGTAGTGTATATGTCAAAATACATATTTTCTGATCACTGTGCGGTCATTTCTTTACTTGATGTCATTTTTTTATATGCATGGTGTTAATTACATCTTTTCATTTGTCCTCACCCAGTGTTGACAGCACGATACGCAGCTCAGCGCCCATCACTGTGCCGTTGCCCTCCTTGTCGAAGACGCGCAGACCCTCAACGTAGTCATCAACGGTACCCTTTGGAAGGGCGTCAACGGTCTTCAGCATGGGCAGGAAAGCTTCAAAGTCAAGTCTTTTGTTGGCCATATCTGTGTGCGCACAGTTCCACACACACATCAGAAATCAGTGAGGGTTTGTGAAGCATTTTGCAAATTGTGTCCATTCGTTTTAGGCCAGCATTATACCAAGTAAAAGTCCTACCGTCAACAGATGGGTTACCCAGGATTGCCTTCACATCCTTGTTGGTGGGGTTCTGTCCCAGGGCACGCATGATGTCGGCGACCTGGTTGTAGGCAACCATGTTGTCACCAACTCTGTCGAAGAGACCAAAAGCCTCTTTGAAGTCTGTAACAGAGGGACACAAGAGAGCCTTTCAGTTATCTATCTATCTATCTATCTATCTATCTATCTATCTATCTATCTATCTATCTATCTATCTATCCATCCATCCATCCATCCATCCATCCATCCATCCATCCATCCATCCATCCATCCTTTAATTATCTATCGATCTATCTATCTATCTATCTATCTATCTATCTATCTATCTATCTATCTATCTATCTATCTATCTATCTATCTATCTATCTATCTATCTATCCATCCATCCATCCATCCATCCATCCATCCATCCATCCATCCATCCATCCATCCATCAATTATCTATCTATCTATCTATCTATCTATCTATCTATCTATCTATCTATCTATCTATCTATCTATCTATCTATCTATCTATCTATCTATCTATCTATCTATCTATCTATCCATCCATCCATCCATCCATCCATCCATCCATCCATCCATCCATCAATTATCTATCTATCTATCTATCTATCTATCTATCTATCTATCTATCTATCTATCTATCTATCTATCTATCTATCTATCTATCTATCTATCTATCCATCCATCCATCCATCCATCCATCCATCCATCCATCCATCCATCAATTATCTATCTATCTATCTATCTATCTATCTATCTATCTATCTATCTATCTATCTATCTATCTATCTATCTATCTATCTATCTATCTATCTATCCATCCATCCATCCATCCATCCATCCATCCATCAATTATCTATCTATCTATCTATCTATCTATCTATCTATCTATCTATCTATCTATCTATCTATCTATCTATCTATCTATCTATCTATCTATCTATCTATCTATCTATCTATCTATCCATCCATCCATCCATCCATCCATCCATCCATCCATCCATCCATCAATTATCTATCTATCTATCTATCTATCTATCTATCTATCTATCTATCTATCTATCTATCTATCTATCTATCTATCTATCTATCTATCTATCTATCCATCCATCCATCCATCCATCCATCCATCCATCAATTATCTATCTAT